AGCAGCAGAATAGAGGTATTAAAGATTCGAGCAGATCTCAATGAAATAGAGACCAGAAGAACTGTAGAACAGATCAACAAAACTAGTTGGTTCTTTGAAAAATTAATAAAATTGATAAACCATATGGCAGCCTTATTAAAAAGAAAAAAGACTCAATAAAATCATGAATGAAAGAGGAGAGATCACAACCAATACCACGGAAGTACAAACAATTTTAAAAACATATTATGAGGGACGCTTGGGTGGCTCAGCGGTTGAGCACCTGCCCCTGGCTCTGGGTGTGATCCGCGGTCTCAGGGTCGGGTTCCACATCAGGCTCCTTGCCTGGAGTCTGCTTCTCCCTCTGCCTACGTCTCTGCCTTTCTCTCTCTGCCTTTCATGAATAAATAAATAAAATCTTTAAAAAATACATATTATGAGCAGCTATATGCCAATAAATTAGGCAATTTAGAAGAAATGAATGCATTTCTGGGAAACCACAAACTACCGAAACTGTAACAGGCAGAAATAGAAAACCTGTAGAGGCCAATAACCAGGGAGGAAATTGAAGCAGACATCAAAAACCTCCCAAGACACAAAAGTCCAGGGCCAGAGGCTTACCAGGGTAATTCTATCAAATGTTTAAAGAAAAAATAATACTTAGTCTACTAAAGCTTTCCAAATGATAGAAAGAGATGGAATGCTTCCAAACTCATTTTATGAGGCCAGCATCACCTTAATTCCAAAACCAGACCAAGACCCAACCAAAAAAGAAATTATAGACCAAGATCCCTGATGAACAGAGATGCAAAAATTCTCACCAAGATACTAGGCAGTAGGATCCAGCCGTACATTAAGAAAAATATTCACCATGGCAGAGTGGGATTTATCCCTGGGATGCAAGGTTGGTTCAACACTTGTAAAGCAATCAATGTGATAGATCTCATTAACAAGAGAAAAAACAAGAACCATATGATCCTCTCAATAGATGAAGAGAAAGCATATGACAAAATACTGCATCCATTCCTGATCAAAACTCTTCAGAGTGTAGGGATAGAGGGAACATTCCTCGACATCTTAAAAGCCATCTATGAAAAGCCCACAGCAAATATCATTCTCAATAGGAAAAAACTGGGAGCCTTTCCCCTAAGATCAGGAACATGACAGGGATTTCCACTCTTACCACTGCTATTCAACATAGTATTAGAAGTTTTAGCCTCAGCGATCAGAAAACAGAAATTTCACAGAGGAAGACATATACATGGCCAACAAGCACATGAGAAAATGCTCTGCATCACTTGCCATCAGGGAAATACAAATCAAAACCACAATGAGATACCACCTCACCCTAGTGAGAATGGGGAAAATTAACAAGATAGGAAAGAACAAATTTCGGAGAGGATGTGGAAAAAGGGGAACCCTCTTGCACTGTTGGTGGGAATGCATACTGGTACAGCCACTCTGGACAACTTTATAGAGGTTCCTCAAAGAGTTCAAAATAGTGCTGTCTTATGACCCAGCAATTGCACTACTTGGGATTTATCCCAAAGATACAGATACAGTGAAATGCCGGGACACCTGCACCCCAGTGTTTATGGCAGGAATGTCTACCATATCCAAACTGGAAGGAGCCTTGGTGTCCTTCAACAGATGAATGGAGAAAGAAGTTTCGTAAATATATACGATGGAATATTATGCAGCCATTATAAAGGGCAAATACCCACCATTTGCTTTGTTCTGGATGGAACTGGAGTGTATTATGCTGAGTGACGTAAGTCAATTGGAGAAGGACAATCGTCTTATGGTTTCACTCATTTGGGGAATAAAAAAGACAGTGAAAGGGATTATAGGGGAAAGGAGAGAAAATGAGTGAGAATAATCAGGTTCACAAAACATGAGAGACTCCTAACTCTTGGAAATAAACAAGGGGTAGTGGAAGGGGAGTTTGGTGGGGGGATGGGGCGACTGGGTTTCTGGCCCTGAGCTGGGCACTTGAGGGGATGAGCACTGGGTATTTTAGTATATGTTGGCAAATCAAACTCCAATAAAAATATACAAAAAAATAAAAAAGGATTACATTTGATTTGTATTCACAAGGAGGAAATAAAGCATCCAGCTAAGCCATGGTGTAGTTGGTATCTGGAAGAAATAGATAAATGATGCGTTTATATCAGGAAGTTACAAGTAAGTGTGGAATGATAGTAACCTAGTGCTCTATTAGGAATCATTTCCAGGAGCAATTCACAGAAATGCAAGATTCCTGTACTTTATACTGTATATTGAATACATTGAGACTCTACATAAAAACACCTTTCCTGTTCATCCATTCATACTTTCTTTCATTAACAATTATTGAGCACCAATTGTGTGCCAGACTAAGGATACAACTCCATGCCTTCATGGAGCGTACTCTTTGGAATACAATGGATAATACTCCTTTGTAAGGTTGCAGAGCAAGGAAAACGTTTCTTAAATCACTGCTTTTGTTTGCTAGAGCTGCCATTACAAAATTCCACAGACTGGGTAGCTTTAACAACAGAAATTCATTTCCTCAAAGTCTGGAGGCTAGATGAGGGTGTCATCAGGTTTTGTTTCTCTGGGTGTCTCACCTTGGCTTGCAGATGGCCAATTTCTCACTATATCTTTACATAGTCATTTCTCTGTGCACATCTGCAATCCCTGGTGTCTTTGTGTGTGTCCAAATTTCCTCTTACAAGGACAACAGATTGAATTAGGTTCCATCCTAACTATCTCATTTAACTTCATCACCCCTTTAAAGGCCCTATTCCCAAATACAGTCACAGTCTGAGGTGTTGGAGTTTTAGAACTTCAACATATGAATTTTAGGGGGACACAATTCAGTCCATAATTCTGTATCCTTTGGACCCCAAAAGTCATGTTCTCCTTACATGCAAAATACATTCATCCCTTCCTAACAGCCCCCAAATTTTAAGGTCTATGCCGAACATGGGGCTTGAACTTGTGATCCCAAGATCAAGAGTCACACTCCAGCCAGTCTACCCCTAACAGCCTCAAATTTTTAACCCATTCCAGCATGCACCCTAAATCCTAAGCCTTATCTGAATATCTAAATCAAATGTGGATGAGACTCAAGGTATAATTCATCTTAAGGCAAAAATCTTGAGGGGTGCCTGGGTGGCTCAGTCAGGGTGGACATTACCATTCCAAAAGGGAGAAATTGGAAAGAATAGAGGTATCATAAGTTTCAGGCAAGTCTGAAACCTAGTAAGGCAAATTCCTTGAGGTTTTAAGGCTCAATAATTATCCTGTTTGGGTTGATGCTCTGTCCTTTGGCCTACTGGTGTTGCAGGGTCATACTTTAGGCTCTGGACATTTGTAGTCTGGCCCACTGCAACTGAGGCTACAGCCTTGACCTTTGGGGCCTGTCCCCTCTGGGTCTATCTTGGTGGCAGCCACCCTGCTGATCTCTGAATTGCCTTGGGGTCATTCTTTTCTTGAAGAGTAACACCTGTTGGCAGTCAGATAGGTCCATTTTCCAATCCTGTGGAATCCCAGAAGTCTGATGGCCTTCCTTCATTATATCCTTGTCTCTGTGCCCTTCAGTCTTAGCTGGCAGTGTTTCTGCTGATAAAAGTTCATCTCTGTTCCTGGGTTCTACTGAGATGACTGGTTGGATTCATGAGTCACACCTATAATTTCTTTATCAAAAGACTGTCCAGCCATAACCTTGGTTTTGCCTCCTGAACATGCTTTCATATTTTGTTCTATGGATAGGCTGAGATTTTTCCAAGTCTTTAAGTTCTGGTTCCTTTTTGATCATCCATTCCTTCAATGTGTCTTTCTTCTCTCCATACATTTTAGTCTGAGCAGCAAGCAGAAACCAGGCCACACCTTCAACACAGCTTAGAAATCCCCTGAACTAAATATCCAGGTTCAGCACTTAGAATTTTTTTTAAAAATTTATTTATTTATTTATGATAGAGAGAGAGAGAGAGAGAGAGAGGCAGAGACAGGAGGAGGGAGAAGCAGGCTCCATGCCGGCTAGCCTGACACAGGACTCGATCCCGGGACTCCAGGATCATGCCCTGGGCCAAAGGCAGGTGCCAAACCACTGAGCCACCCAGGGATCCCCAGCACTTAGAATTTTTACCTTCCACCCAACACTAGGACACAATTCGTCCAAGTTATTTTGTTACTTTAAAATGATCAAATTTTGTCCAGTTTCTAATAGCATGCTCCTCATTTCTGAGATCTCCCCAGAATCACCTTTATTTGTTTTTAAACATGTTATTTATTTATGAGAGACACAGAGGCATAGAGAAGCAGGCTCCCCATGGGGAGTGTGATGGGGGGCTCAATCCCAGGACCCCAGAATCAAGACCTGATCCATAGGCAGATGCTTAACCACTGAGCTACCCAGGTGCCTCCTAGAATCACCTTTAATATCCGTATTCCTACTAATAGTCTCTTCAAAGCAATCTAGGCTTTTTCCAGCATGCACCTGAAAATGCTTCCAGTTTTTACCCATTCCTAGTTTTAAAGCCACTTCCTTATTTTTAGGTATTTGTTATAGTTTCATGCCCCTTCTTGGAATCAAAACCTGTATCAGTCGACTATGGCTGCCATTCCAAAGTACCATAGACTGCATGGCTTAACAGAAATTTATTTTCTCACAGTTCTGAAGGCTTGAAGTCCTAGAAGGGTGTTTGGCTTATTCTGAAGCTGGCCTCGTTGGCTTGTAGATGGCCGTCTTCTGTGTCTTCACATGATCTTTCCTTTGTTTGGGCATCCCTGGTGTCTCTTTATGTGTCCCAATTTTCTCTTTCTTATGAGGACACCAGTCAGTTGTATTAGGGCCTCATTTTAATTTAATCACCTCTTTAAAGACCTTATCTCCAAATATGGTCACATTCTGAGGTACTGGGGGCTTCAACAGAATGCCTGGGGCTGGGTGCAATTAAGCCCATAACATTCAGCGTGGCTAGTCAGCTGTGGAACTTGTTATATTTGTCTACATAACAGTTCTGTTTTCTCCCTAGTACTATGAAGTATTTCTTTGACAGTCTGCAATGGAGTCCTGCTTTTTGTTTCATGAAGGTGGGTACTGGTGTGAGCTCATATTCTGCACCGATAGCCGAGGGCACACAATGGCCATCATCACTTTCCATCCCCAGGAATTAAGACAGGTGATAGTCACAGGACACTTAGGGACAGTTTTTGTAGCAACCCTTATTTTCGCTGTCCTGCAGTTGGTTTTGGAAGTGTCAGGGCAGGTAGCAGAAATTACACATCCACAGAATATTTATGTGGGTTGGGAAGAGGGGTTAGGGGTAAGGAGGAAGAAGCAAGGATACTCTTTAAACATGCTGTTGGCATGATCAAACCACAGACTGAGGTGAAGTTCCATGTTAATGATGATGTGAGGATTCCCAAGTATTTTCACAAGAACTTTGCCCATGGAAGTTGGTAGGTATTCTACTGACTTTAGAAGCCAATTCAGTAGAAAGTAGAATACAGTCAGAATTTCATAACTCAAATAAGACTTTACATTTGTAATTCACTTAGGGCTTTCAAACATTTCCATGTTAAAATATTCCTATATTTAATGTGATCATCTCAACCAACTTGTATAGTAGGTGAGAGAAGGAAAAGTATTGTCATCCTCATTTCAGATGAGCAAATGGAGGCATAGAGTACCCAAGGTTGAACTGCCAGTAAATAGCCAAGCTAGGGCTTGAACCCACATCATTGATTCCTGACCTTTTTTTGTAATTAAAAAAAATTGGCATAGTTGACACACAAATCCTGGCCTTTTATATTTTTATATATGTATGTATGTAGTTAAACAGATATAACTATTAATATCAAAGTAGATTCCAAGGCAGCAGGTATTACTAGAGATAAAAAAGATGATTTATTAAAGGTAGAAGGTTCAACCTAAAAGAAAAATAAAATTTAAAGTTACATACATCTAATAACTGACAGATCTACAGGAAAATACACAATGCTACTTTAACGGAAGATGCAGTAAATAATGGTGAGCACAATGACAAAATATATTAGTAAGTTTAATTTTCTACATATGTAAGAAAAACTATTTATTTATATCAGAATTCCAGTGTAGTTAACATACAGTGTTTTTTTTAAGATTTTATTTATTCATGAGAGACATAGAGAGAGGCACAGACACAGGCAGAGGGAGAAGCAGGCTCCATGTAGGGAGCCTGACATGGGACTCGATACTGGGTCTCCAGGATCACAACCTGGGCCGAAGGCGGCGCTAAACTGCTGAGCCACCCGGGCTGCCCAACATATAGTGTTATATTAGGTTTAGGTATACAATATAGTGATTCAACAATTCTATACATCAACTAGTGCTCATCACAGCAAGTGCACTCCTTAATCCCCATCACCTATTTCATCCATTCCCCCACCCGCCTCTCCCCTGATAACCATCAGATTGTCCTTTATAGTTAAGAGTGTTTTCTTGGTTTGTCTTTCTCTCTTTTCCCATTGCTCATTTGTTTTGTTTCTTAAATGCCACATATGAGTAAAATCATATGGTATTTGTCTTTCTCTGACTTATTTTCACTTAGCATTTATAGTCTAGCTCCATCCATGTTGCAAATGGCAAGATTTCATTCTTTTTTATGGCGGAATAGTATGCCATTGCCTGTATATACACCCTATTCTCTATCCATCTATTGATGGACACTTGGACTGCTTCCATAATTTGGCTCTTATAAATAACACTGCTATAAACATCAAGGTGCATATTATCCCTTTGAATTAGTGTTCTTGTATTTAAAAAAAATGGGCAGAAGACATGAACAGACATATGTCCAACAAAGACATACAGATGGCCAGGAGACACATGAAAAAGTGTTTAATATCACTCATCATCAGGGAAATGCACATGAAAACCACAGTGAGGTATCCCCTCATATGTGTCAGAATGGCTAAAATACAAAGTACAAGAAACAAGTGTTGACAAGGATATGGAGAAAAGGGAACCCTTTTGTACGGTTGGTAGGAATGTAAACTGGTATGGCTACTGTGGAAAACAGTATGGAGGGTCTTCAAAGAGTTAAAAATAGAACTACCCTATGATCCAGTAATCACACTACTGGGTATTTACCCCCAAAATACAATTCTTGGCCTTTTAACTCTAGAGCTCCAACATAGTTTATTGTGATATATCCTGTGTCAAGCTAATATTTAGGCTCTCTGCAGTCATGTAAGAATTTTAAACTGTTCTGAATTCAAAGAAAGAATTTAGTTACCGTGATGATTCCCTTCTATGCCCTCTTTCTTTTCTTTAAGGACTCACACCTTTTAGGCGTTTGGGTGGGTGATTGGGATATTTGAAGCAGAGAAGTATAAAGGGTTATTGTGTCTTCATAATAGGGCAAAAGCTTAGTTTAGCTCCTTGTTTATAATATGGATAACTCTCACACTTTCTTTAGAAAACTATTAAGAAAGCTCAAACTAGAGAAAGTACCATGTCTATTGTATAGGATTTGTCAAAAGCTGATAAGCAAAGCAGTGCTTCTACTGAGATGTGAAAATTGTGTTTTTTTTTGTCATATAGAACATTGCTTTATGTTAAGTGTCATTTATAATAGGATTTGAGAAATGTGCTTTCTTGTCTGACTACTGCAGGGCTGATTTTTATAGAGCTTGGAGAGAAAATTTGTCAGAGATGAGTCTTTGCTTGGCTACTGATTTTGTGATCTGGGCAGGAGGAGCTCAGTATTCAGAGAGACTCTAAAGAAATTTTTCACCACTGGGCCAGGAGCAGTCTGTGATTTGACATCCCTTTACTTTCAGGAAAGGTAAACCTGGGGTAGCCAAACAGAGCAAGAAGCCAATGGCTTGCTATATTGTGAGTTGTTGCTTGCTGAGGCAGGGCTGCTGATTGTGGAGAACTGGGGTAAGTGGTAGCAGTCCTTGTACAGCAGCCAGGTCTGGGAACCCAGGCCAAATTTAGATGAGAGAGTGTCTGCATATATCTCCATCCCCTGAGAGGTAATTCCTACAGACCTCTCAGGGCCATGCCATGGAGGCTGTGTCTCTTGGCTGAGATGCTGCCTGCCCCTCCAAAGCACTAGAGATAGAATGGTGTACTATTCTAAAATGCTTTTTTAAAAGTTGTTTTCCAGCACCATGATGCATTGCAGCCATCAGCAGTCCCCCTATCAGCTCCTATTTGGGGAACCCCATCTCTTTGAAGATCTCTTGGGCTTGAAGATGTGTATCTCTCCAGAAGCCTTTTTCCAGATTAATAATGCTGGTGCAGAGGTGCTATATCGGACAGTGAGGGAGCTGAGTGAACTCTAACACCATCCTCCTCGATATCTGCTATGGAACTAGCAAGTGGCAGCCCAGGGCAGAATCTACATGCTGCTTACCTTCCATTCCCCCCACACCAGGGCCCAGATGGGGAAGTGATGGTAGTTGTGCAGGCATAACATCACTGGCTTAAAATCCTAAACTACCTTTCTCTTATCCTCTTATTTCCTTAGGTGTGATTGGTCTCTCTCTGGTTCAGTATATCTCCCAAGTCCTTGGTATTAACTTGGTGGAACAGGCAGTAGAGGATGCCAGGTGGACTGCAGCCTTCAATGGTATACTGTTCACATTATGGAGAGAAATTAAGAGCTGTAGTTGTTTCTGTGCTGTGTAAAGTGTTGTGTGGGAAAGGGCATTTACTATATCCATGACCTATGCAGAGGGCGGGAGAGAATCCTAGAGTGCTTGGATTTGGGTCCTGATGATTTTCTGACAGAGGTCCTGATAGCTAATCTCCCTATTTTTTCTATCCAGAAGAAGAGCCTGAGGCAATGAACAGGCCTAGACTAGATGATAGGAAGATAACCTGGCAAAACTTTGGATAATGTAGAAGAGGAGCCTTCTTGACATTAGACTCATGAGGCATTATAGCATGATACAGTAGGTTTCAAACAGCTGTTAGCAGCAGAACCTTTTCTTTGAACAAAATCCTATGCCAAACTGCAATATAGAAAACAGATCCCCTTGTTCCCTCTACCCTACCTCCAGAGAACTCTTGAGGCTCTGAAAATCTCTAAGATAGCAGACAGCACTTGAGTAAAAGTTAAGGTTTTCTTTTTGGTAGGTACTTATGTACTATGTGTCACTAAGTTTTAAAATAACATGGTCTAGTATCTAAAGCTGAAAGGCCTACTGAGATATTGCAAAGGAAAGTGTGTTGGCAATGAGGCAGATCCAACAGCATTTCTTTTATTGTTAGTCAGAGGTATGCTAGGTCCAAAGGGAAGACGGCAGAGCCTGGGCTCCTGTACATTTCTGTAAAGCCTCCCTCTACTACCTTCCCTCACTGCTGGGCTTGAGTTTTGAATTCTGTCATGTGGTCCTCTCTTTTGCAGGTATCACCAACTGTGAATTCCACACAGGTCGAGCAGAGAAGATTTTACCACAGCTGCTACAGTCAAAGGAAAATTGGCAGTTCATTGTTGCTGTGGTGAGCCCAGCCCAGGCAGGACTGCGTAGGAATGCATAGCTTTTCTGTTACAGAACTCATTGGGTATTCTCATGATGTCCACTATCTTTTTTTTAAAGATTTTATTATTTATTTATTCATAAGAGACAGAGAGAGAGGTAGAGTCATAGGCAAAGGGAGAAGCAGGCTCCATGGGGGGAGGCCAATGTAGGACTTAATCCCAGGACCCTGGAATCACACCCTGAACTGAAGGCAGATGCTCAACCACTGAGCCACCCAGGCGTCCTGATGTCCACCATCTTTAGTCCGTTACTCCCATACAATCCTAAGGGAGCTCCCAGTGGGCTGGCTCTGAACCTACTTCTCCTCTTTTCATAACCAATCCTAGGTGCTAGCCCGTTGGTAGTTTCTGCTAATCCATGATGGTTTAATTATATTAATAGCAATGTGTTTCTTCCTTCAGACTATCAGGTGGTTCAAGCCATTCAAAACTGCAGGGCTATCCACACGCTGATTTTTGTTTCCTGCAAGCCCCATGGTGAAACCACAAGGAACATCATTGAGTGAGTCATGACTTCTTTTTCTAAATTATTTTTTCCTGATTATCAAAGTAATCCATATTTACTGTACAGATTTAGAAAACACAGAGTGATGTAAGGAGACAGAAAAAAGGCATTATTATACCATCAATAGTCAGTTATAGGGCCAGGTCTCAGGTAAGGCAAGTAAAGCAACTCACTTTGGGTGTAAAATTTAATAAGATTGTGCACAAAATATCAGTAATTAAGATACATTTATAATCCATCATTTTCAAAAATCAAAATTAGTCCAAGAAATCCATGATGAAAAACACATTAAGATTAAAAAGAAAAAAGCAGATCCACGCCTGTGCTTGCTAAACCCTGCCTCACTCATCTTATTCTAATCCTGGTCCCAATAAAACTTTATTTATAAAAGCAGGGAACCAGCCTGCAGATTGTTTCCAATTTGATTTTCCAAAATACTGCATTAAACTATTATTTGTCTTGGGGGATCCCTGGGTGGCTCAGCAGTTTGGCACCTGCCTTTGGCTCAGGGCATGATCCTGGAGTTCTGGGATCGAGTCCTGCATTGGGCTTCCTGCATGGAGCCTGCTTCTCCTCTGTCTGTGTCTCTGCCTCTCTTTCTATCTGTGTCTCTCATGAATAAATAAATAAAATCTTTAAAAGAATATTATTTGTCTTGATTACTGAGTTTTTTAGCACCCTTTTAAGTTTTGTACCCAAGATGAATGCCTCTTGCTTCCCTCCAGGTCTGGCCCTGGTCAGTTCTTTTTTTTTTTTTTTTTAAGATTTTATTTACTTATTCATAAGAGACACGCAGAGAGAGGCAGAGGGAGAAACAGGTTCCCTGCAGTGAGCCCAGTGTGGAACTCGATCCCAGAACGCCGGGATCATGCCCTGAGTCAAAGGCAGACTATCAACCACTGAGTCACCCCAGCATCCCTCAGAATGGCTAAAATAAACAACACAGGAAAACAGCAAGTGTTGGCAAGGATGTGGAGAAAGGGAAACCCTCTTACACTGTTGGTAGGAATGAAAACTAATGCAACTACTCTGGAAAACAGTATGGAGGATCCTCAAAAAGTTAAAAATAGAACTACCTCTCTGTGATCCAGTACTCATGCTACTCAAAGGATATAAGTGTTTTGAAGGTTAAAATCTTAAAAAAAAAAAAAAAAGGCGGGGGGGATCCCTGGTGGCTTAGTGGTTTAGTGCCTCCCTTTGGCCCAGGGGATGATCCTAGAGACCTGGGATCGAGTCCCACGTCGGGTTCCCTGCATGGAGCCTGCTTCTCCCTCTGCCTGTGCCTCTGCCTCTCTCTCTCTGTGTCTCTCATGAATAAATAAATAAAATCTTTTAAAAAAAAGCAATTCGAAGGGATACATGCACTCTGATGTTTATAGCAGTGTTATCAACATAGGCAAATTATGGAAAGAGCCCAAATGTCCATTGATGTGATACCATGAATGGATACACACACACATGTATATATATACACACACACACATAAGGGAATATCACTCAGCCATCAAAATGAATGAAATCTTGCCATTTGCAATGACATGGATGGAGCTAGAGTGTATTATGCTAAGCGAGATTAGTCCATTAGAAAGAGACAAATACCATATGATTTCACTCATATGTGGAATTTTAGAAATGAAACAAGTTGGGCATAGAGGGGGAAAATGAGGCAAACCATAAAACAGACTCTTTTTTTTAAAGATTTTATTTATTTATTCATGAGAGACACAGAGAGAAGAGGCAGAGACACAGGCAGAGGGAGAAGCAGGCTCCATGCAAGGAGCCCGACGTGGGACTCGATCCAGGGACTCCAGGATCATGCTCTGAGCTGAAGGCAGATGCTCAACTGCTGAGCCACTCAGGCATCCCAAAACAGACTCTTAGCTATAGAGAACAAACTGAGGGTTGCTGGGGGGAGGTGGACAGGGAGATGGGTTAAATGGGTGATGGGCTTTAAGGAAGGCACTTGTGATGAGCACTGAGTGTTGAGTGTAAGTGATGAATAACTAAATCCTACTCCTAAAACTAATATTACACTGTGTGTTAACTAACTGGAATTTGAATAAAAGCTTGAAATAAAAGAAAAAGAAAGAAGCACCAAAGGAAAATTAACAGAAGAAAGAAAATATCAATGTGTTTAAGAACCATGAAAGGATACTCCGTCTCTTCAATTATAATGAAAATGCAAATTAAATGTACCCTGAGATGTCTCTTTTTACATTTCAGATTGGCAAAGGTTCAAAAGTTTGGTAATACACTATGAGGAAACATGAATTCTAAAAAATTACTAGTTAGATTGTAAATTGGTACCGTCCCTGTGGAGGGAAATTTAGCAATACAGGTTATAAATGCATAAATACCCCTTAAACCAGTAATTCCATTCCTGAGACTTTATCTTACAAATATACTGACACACAGTAAAATGACATAGACACAAAGTTACTTACTGCAATATTGTAACAATAAGCAGTGAAATATCCTAAAACTGTCAGTGGGGAACTGGTTAAACCATCAATGCTAAATCCATACAATGGAATACTGTGCTGCTACACTGTGCTGCTATAAAAAGGAATACAGATATTCTCTATGTACATATAGAGAAAGATCTCTAAGGTATGTTGTTGTTAAATAGCTTTATTGAGATATAATTCATATATAAAATTCATCTAAGTGTACAATTCTGTGGTTTTTTAGTATGTTCTCAGACTTATGTGGCCATTACCCCTATCTCCAGAACATTGTTATCACTTCAAATGGAAACCCTGCACCTCTCACCTGTTACTCCCCATTTTTCCCAACCCCTTGGCCTTAGGCAACCACTAATCTATTTGCTGTTCTTATGGATTTGCCTATTCTGTACACCTCATACAAATGAAGTCATACAATATGTGGTTCTTTGCATCTGGCCTCTCTTGCTTATCATGATGTTTGCAAGGTTCATGCATGGGGTAACACGTATCAGTATTTCACTCCTTTATGGCTGAATAATATTTCATTTCATGGATATATCTCATTTTATATATTCTTGTGTCAGTTGACAGACATTTAAGTTGTTTCTGCCATTTGTGAATAGTGCTCCTGTGAAGATTCAGGTGCAAATTTTTGTGTGAACATATACTTTCATTTCTCTTGGGTAGATACCTAGGAGTGGAATTGGCTGGGTCATGTGGTAACCCTGTGTTAAACAGCCAGACTGTTTTCTAAATAGCTACCCTATTTTACATTTCCACCAGCAGCATGTGAAGAGTTCCAATTTGTCGAAATTCTTACCAACTCTTGTTACTGTCTGTTTTATTCTATTTATCCTAACAGGTGAAAAGTGGTATGTCCTTGGGTTTTTTTTTTTTAATTTTTATTTATTTATGATAGTCACAGAGAGAGAGAGAGAGAGAGAGAGAGAGAGAGGCAGAGACACAGGCAGAGGGAGAAGCAGGCTCCATGCACCGGGAGCCCGACGTGGGATTCGATCCCGGGTTTCCAGGATCGCGCCCTGGGCCAAAGGCAGGCGCTAAACCGCTGCGCCACCAGGGATCCCCTGTCCTTGGGGTTTTGATTTGCATTTCCCCAGTGGCTAATGATGTTGAGAATTTTTGCATGTATTTATTGGCCATTTGTATATCTTTTCTTGGAGAAATGTCTATTCAGATCCTTTGTCCATTTTTTAATTGGTATGCCTTTTTATTGAATTTTAAGATTTCTTTATATATTTTAGATACAAGCCCCTTATCAGATACATGATTTGCCAAAATTGTCTCCCATTCTGTGGGTTCTCTGTTCCTTTTCTCTATGGTGTCCTTTTAAGTAAGAGTATCAGTAAGAGTATCAATTTTGAATATGTCCAGACTATTTTATTTTTTAAAAGATTTTACTTATTTTATCATGAAAGAGACAGAAAAAGAGAGAGGCAGAAACATAGGCAGAGGGAGAAGCAGGCTCCCTGTGGGGAGCCTGATGTGGGACTTGATCCCAGGACCCCAGTATCATGACCTGAGCCAAAGGCAGACACTCAACCACTGAGCCACCCACTTGCCCCAGACTATTTTCTTTTGTGGCTTGTGATACTGGTTCTATGGTCTGTTGCTAAGTGGAAATAGTAAGGTATACAGAATTGTTTATTTTTTTCAGAATTGTTTATATAATAGGAAACTGTCTTTGTACAAAAGGACAAAAGATTAGGAGAAGAATATGGATTTTTATTCATTTGTATAGGCATAGAGAAACTGGTAAGTCATATTAGAAAATGATAATAGTAGCTGTCTATGGTCAGAGAGAACTGTGGAGGTGAGTATCACAGTTGGGAAGGAGACTTCACTGAATACCTTTTTATGTTATTTCATTTTTGAATATAATGAAAATACTTATTATGCAAGACAATAAATTTAAAAATGCAATGATTAAGAGTAAACCTAGGATTCTGCTCACACTTAACAGTGAGTAAAACAATAAACATGGCCTCAAAAAGGTAAGAAAAATTTGTTTTGAAAAGACAATACGTGCATATGGCAGAAAAATTCAAACAATACAGGAGTAAGCAGTGAATAGTTTTTCTTACTCCTGACTCCTAGTCCTTCAGATGTCTCCACTCTTACCAGTTTCTTGTGTAGCCTATCAGAGATATTCTGTGACTATAAAAGTGTGTGTGTGTGTACGTACATATACGTGTATGTATACATACCATCCCTTTTTTCTTAACAGACTAAAACACTGTTCTGCAACATGCTTTTCACTTAACATTAGATTTTGGAGATTGTTCTACGATGATACAGAATCTCCATCAATACTTACAAGTCTACTTAATTTTTTAAATAGACTATACAGTTTTATTTACATAAATATGTCATTTAGTCTCTTGCTCATGAATTTTAAGGTTGTTTCTACTCTGTTGTAAGCACAATGTTGCAATGAATATCCTTGTACATAAATCTTTGCACATATGTACAGTGTATAGATAGGTATATGTGATGAATAAGTGTATGTGATAGTATATATAGTAGATAAATTCCTGTTGTGGAGTTGCTGAGTTAGAGGATATATACTTTTAACATTTTCAGCTATTTTCTAACAGAGCTCTAGAATCAACTTATCAAAAATATCCTTTTGGGATTGTGATTGGAAATGCACTGAACTTACTTTAGGGAGAATTGAAATCTTTACAGTATTTTTTATGTTTAAGTATGTGATATATCTCTTCAGTTACTCTAGTCTTATATAATTCTCTAAAGCTAAATATACATATAATTCTTTCCAATACAGGTCTTCTTAAGGTTAATGTAAGATAAAGTTTTTATTGCTATTATGAATGCGACCTTTTCATTACTTTTTCTGAGGAGTTATTGCCAACCTTGTGTCCAGCTTCCTTATTCTTTTATTAGTTTTATTTTCTGGTTGATTCTCTTGCTTGGTAGCTGGCCATTTTTCTTGTCAGCTGACCATGTGACCACCATATCAAAACAGTTTGTCTTTCTCCTTCCAGTACTTTTTCTTTCTTATTACACTGGCTAAGAAAATGTTCCATTGTAGAAGCAATAGTGAATATCTTGTCTTGTTCTGATTTCACTGGGGCAGTGCTATTTAAACTATTGAGAATCAGCGAGGGAAACAAGAACTCTTCTGTTTTGTTGGTTTGAGAGTAAATTGGTACAACCGTTTTAGAACAGTTTAGTGGTACATATCTTAGGGCCTTACAAACATGTCAGTCCTTCAACTCAGCAGTTCTACCAAGTAACTAAAAATGTATGCAATGATATAACTATTAAAGATATTCATGGAGGGACTTTTTGAAATAGTAAAGTGTTAGAAAACACTTTCACTAAATTTCCAATAGCAAGGGATTAGATAAATAAACTATGTACACACATTTAATGAAATACCATATAGCCGGTAAAATGAGAGGTAGCCTTACATATGGTGGAGAGATGTATATGATCTATGATTACCTGAAGAAACTGGTTGTAAAGCAGTATCTACAATATGTAAAGTGGGATTCCATTTTAAGAAACCAAATTAAATATACATATTTGGAAAGATATATACTGAAAAGTCAGCAGTGGTCCTTGGGTTTATAGGTAAGTTATTTTTAAAGATCTTATTTATTTATTCAAGAGAGGCAGAGAGAAAGGCAGAGACACAGGCAGAGGGAGAAGCAGGCTCCTCATAGGGAGTCCCATGTGGGACTCGATCCCAGAACCCTGGGATCACGCCCTGAGCCAAAGGCAGCTGCTCAACCACTGAGCCACCCAGGCGTCCCAATAGGTGAGTTTTTATGCTTATTTTTGATCAACTGCCTTTGAAATAAGGGGGAAAAGTAACCTGCTTAAATTTCAACAGAATAATTTAAGTCAGTAATATTTATTAATTAACTTTCTTTTTTAAAAAATATTTTATTTAATTATTCATGAGAGACACAGAAAGGGAAGCAGAGACATAGGCAGAGGGGGAAGCAGGCTCCCTGCAGGAGCCTAATGCAGGACTTGATCCCAGGACCCTGGGATCACAACCTGAGCCAAAGGTAGACTCTCAATCACTGAGCCACCCAGGTGCCCCAATTAATTACCTTTCATGTACAAATCATACAGAAAAGTATATGAGTTAGGCAACTTGCTCTATTCACTATTGAACCCCTACTCTGTGTGACAAACTGGGAACACAGAGATGGATAATAAGCAGTTTTTGCCTTGTTTCCACCCTTGAGAAGATTATACTCCACTGAGGAAGATGGTTAAAAAAAAACAACCCAGGTAGTTACATTAAATATGATAAATGCTGTCATAGGGAGAAACATAGGGGGCTATCAGAACACAGGAAAGGGCTTACATTTTAAGAAATGGTGCTACTATAGGTTCTCCTTGGTTTCCAGAAACTGATATTACTATCTGTTTCTATAGGGCTATGCTGTCCTCCAGACTCAGCTAAGAAGCTCTTTGGTGAGTCTTTTGTTCTGAGAAAAGCTGTGCCTGTTGATCTGTTCTCCCACACCCTGCACTGCAAGCTGGTGCTCCTCCTCACTTGCGAATCAGCCTCCTATGGTACTGCAGGCTCTTTATTAAGGCTGAGGTTTCAGTAACTTCCCAGGTTTGGCATATTGCTACATTACAGATCCTGACTGCGTTATTGGAGAAACCAGTCTTTGAATCATGAGCAGGAAGAATTATACAGGTGACCCTTGAACAACATGGGTTAGGGCCGCTGACACAGTTGAAAATTTGCATATACCTTATTTTATTTTATTTTTAATTCAAAATATTTTTTAAAAATTTATTTTATACATATAACTTTTGACTCCTCGAGAACTTAACTGCTAATAGCCTACTGTTGACTGGAAGCCTTACTGATAACAGAACCAGTGAACTAATACATATTTTTTTATAAATTTATTTTTTATTGGTGTTCAATTTGCCACATACAGAATAACACCCAGTGCTCATCCCGTCAAGTGCCCACCTCAGTGCCCGTCACCCAGTCACCCCCACCCCCAGCCAACCTCCCCTTCCACCACCCCTTGTTCATTTCCCAGAGTTAGGAGTCTTTCATATTCTGTCTCCCTTTCTGATATTTCCACTCATTTCATCTCCTTTCCCCTTTATTCCCTTTCACTATTTTTTATATTCCCCAAATGAATGAGACCATATAATGTTTGTCCTTCTCCGATTGACTTATTTCACTCAGCATAATACCCTCCAGTTCCATCCACGTCGAAGCAAATGGTGGGTATTTGTTGTTTCTAATGGCTGAGTAATATTGCATTGTATACATAGACCACAACTTCTTTATCCATTCATCTTTCGATGGACACCGAGGCTCCTTCCACAGTTTGGCTATTGTGGACATGGCTGCTAGAAACATCGGGGTGCAGGTGTCCCGGCGTTTCATTGCACCTGTATCTTTGGGGTAAATCCCCAACAGTGTAATTGCTGGGTCGTAGGGCAGATCTATTTTTAACTCTTTGAGGAACCTCCACACAGTTTTCCAGAGTGGCTGCACCAGTTCATTTTCCCACCAACAGTGCATCCTCTCCAACATTTGTGGTTTCCTGCCTTGTTAATTTTCCCCATTCTCACTGGTGTGAGGTGGTCTCTCATTGTGGTTTTGATTTCTATTTCCCTGATGGCAAGTGATGCAGAGCATTTCCTCATGTGCTTGTTGGCCATGTCTATGTCTTCCTCTGTGAGATTTCTCTTCATGTCTTTTGCCCATTTCATGATTGGATTGTTTGTTTCTTTGGTGTTGAGTTTAATAAGTTCTTTATAGATCTTGGAAACTAGCCCTTTATCTGATAGGTCATTTGCAAATATCTTCTCCCATTCTGTAGGTTGTCTTTGAGTTTTGTTGACGATATCTTTTGCTGTGCAAAAGCTTCTTATCTTGATGAAGTCCCAATAGTTCATTTTTGCTTTTGTTTCTCTTGCCTTCATGGATGAATCTTGCAAGAAGTTACTGTGGCCAAGTTCAAAAAGGGTGTTGCCTGTGTTCTCCTCTAGGATTTTGATGGAATCTTGTCTCACATTAAGATCTTTTATCCATTTTGAGTTTATCTTTGTGTATGGTGCAAGAGAGTGGTGTAGTTTCATTCTTCTGCATGTGGATGTCCAATTTTCCCAGCACCATTTATTGAAGAGACTGTCTTTTTTCCAGTGGATAGTCTTTCCTCCTTTGTCGAATATTAGTTGACCATAAAGTTCAGGGTCCACTTCTGGATTCTCTCTTCTGTTCCATTGATCTATGTGTCTGTTTTTGTGCCAGTGCCACACTGTCTTGATGACCACAGCTTTGTAGTACAACCTGAAATCTGGCATTGTGATGCCCCCAGATATGGTTTTCTTTTTTAAAATTCCCCTTGCTATTCGGGGTCTTTTCTGATTCCACACAAATCTTAAAATAATTTGTTCTAACTCTCTGAAGAAAGTCCATGGTATTTTGATAGGGATTGCATTAAACGTGTAAATTGCCTTGGGTAACATTTACATTTTGACAATATTAATTCTTCTAATCCATGAGCATGGAATATTTTTCCATCTCTTTGTGTCTTCCTCAATTTCTTTCAGAAGTGTTCTGTAGTTTTTAGGGTATAGATCCTTTACCTCTTTGTTTAGGTTTATTCCTAGGTATCTTATGCTTTTGGGTGCAATTGACTAATACATATTTTATATGTTATATGTATTATATACTATATTCTTATAATAAAGTAGGCTAGAGAAAATAAAATGTTATTAAGAAAATACATTTACTATATGGTGTTTATTGAAAAAAATCAATGGATAAGTTCTTCTGCGTAGTTCAAACCAGTGTTGTTCAAGGGTCAGCCATAGCAGGCCTTCTATCTGATGCAGATTTATAACCTTAGTTTTCAGGTTCCCTTGCTTTCATGGATGTTGGCCTGGTTGTGGCCACTCCTTGGCCCAGGATCTAGACTGTTCTTTGCTGTCATCCTGTCATGGCTCCCTTGGTCCTAGTTCATTCAGTCTTATCTCCTCTGTCTGACTCTGTGGTATGGTGATAGCACAACTGAGCTTTGCCCTGCTGCTGGTAATAATATCACATTGACTTGGGTCTCTGTATTTGCCAAGAGATTTTGATAGATATGTCCTGCATTTATTAAGTAACCAAGGATTAGAACTAGAAACAAATCTAGCTTTTCTTAAAAAAGCAGAGTAAGCTATAATGTGATTATAGGGTGACTGTGTGATCACAGAGCTTCATTCCTTTGGGTTTTCTAGGCTTTGAAGTTCTAGAATACCCTTTAAAAAATGGTAAGAGCAATAGCACTAATCAGCTCTCACTTATGGAAGGAGAATTGGTTATAGTAGAGACCTTATGGGAAAGAAGATCTTATTTTTTTAAAGATTTTATTTATTTATTCATGAGAGAGAGAGAGAGAGAGAGAGAGAGAGAGAGAGAGAGAGAGGCAGAGGGAGAAGCAGGCTCCATGCAGGGAGCCTGACGTTGGACTCGATCCCGGTTCTCCAGGATCAGGCCCTGGGCTGAAGGTAGGCGCTAAACTGCTGAGCCACCCGGGCTGCCTGGGAAAGAAGATCTTAAGAGACTGAATACCTATAACTGTGCTATGTAGTATGCAGAAAGCTCCAGAATCCTCCAATGATCCTGTATATGCTATAATAAACTGGATATCAAAACTGATATTCTCTAGTGCATGATTTCTTCAGGTCTTGAGTTCTCCTTGGTTATTTGTCCAACAATTTAGATTATGTTTTGAATCTTTTAAGAGCCTAAGGACATGTACAAAAATCTGATTTACAAAATGATTTTGGGTCAACTAGTATTTTTCTCAATCCTAAATACTTCTAGAGAAGCTTCCTTCTCAGAAAAATGTGGCTATTAGAGCTACTATATACATATTCATTTAAAAATTCTAGAAGGAGGGCACCTGGTTGGCTCCGATCCCAAACAACCTGGGATTGGTCTGCATTGGGCTCCCCATGGGGAGCCTGCTTCTCCCTCTGCCTATGTCTCTGCCTCTCTCTCTGTCTCTCATGAGTAAATAAATAAAATCTTTAAAAAGAATAAAAAATAAAAAATGCTGGAAGGAGATTTTATTTATTTAAATGTCTTTAGCGATTTATTTTTATTTATGAGAGAGAGAGAGAGAGAGAGAGAGAGAGAGAGGGGCAGAGACAGAAGCAGGCTCCATGCAAGGAGCCCGACACGGGACTCGATCCCGGGTCTCCAGGATCATGCCCTGGGCCAAAGGCAGGCGCAAAACCGCTGAGCCACCCAGGGATCCCCTAGAAGGAGATTTTAATATAAAGTGATAAAAAGGGCAGCCCTGGTGGCTCCACGGTTTAAGCGCCGCCTTCAGCGAGGGCGTGATCCTGGAGCCCCGGGATCGAGTCCCATGTCGGGCTCCATGCGTGGAGCCTGCTTCTCCCTCTGCCTGTGTCTCTGCCTCTCTCACTCTCTCTGTGTTTCTCATGAATAAATAAATAAAAATATCTAAAAAAATAAAGTGATAAAAAAGTGTTGACTTATGGCAACCAGATAAGTTTTATTTTCATTTCCCTATTTTTCATTTTATGTCATGGGAAAGTGATTTTTATTTTCTCCTCTTTTGTTCCCCATATCTGTAAATGGTAATACTATCTATTAGTTATCTAAGCCAGAAATCAGAGCTATCTCTCTCAGTCTCATACCCAACTGCCTACAAGGGGGATTCTACCTGGATATCTTCTAGGTACTCCAAAATCAATGTATCTAATATTGCATGCTTCACATCTGTCCCCCAAACTTGTTCTTGCTCCAATATTCCAAGTCTTGATGAATATACCAGCCTACTCATTCAATCTAAAAAATTGGGAATTATATCTGAGTAATCCTTCTCTTCTACCTCCTGCCCCCATCCAACATATCACCAAGTCTCTATCCCAGTAGATTGCCATCGTTTCTTACCACATTATTGCTCAAAAGGCCATCTTCACTTAAGCTACTATATCCACTCTTTCCCTCATCCATTCCATTCTCTGCAGCCATAATGAGTTTTCTAAAATGCCAATGTCATTGTGTTTCTCCAGTGCTTAAAATCTGTTATTGGCTTCTTACTGCTTTTAAAAAGTCCAAGATTTTTTTTTAAAGATTTTATTTATTTGGAAAGAGGGAGAGAGAGAGCGAGAAAGAGAGAGCATGAACAGAGGGGCTGACAGGGAGGGAGAAGCCGACTCCCTGCTGAGCAAGGAGCCTAATAAGGGACTTGATCCCAGGACCCTGAGATCTCAACCTGAGCCTAAGGCAGACACCTAACCGACTGAGCTACCCAAGCACCACAAGAAGTCCAAAATTCTTTTTTCTTTTTTAGAAGTCCAAAATTCTTTTTTTTTTTAAATATATTTTTTTTAAGTTTCTTGTTTTTTTTTTTTAAATTTTTTTTTTATTTAGTTATGATAGTCACAGAGAGAGAGAGAGGCAGAGACACAGG